ATCTACATTCAGTCAAAATCGTTATTATAGGGATGTGCCATATTCGGTTAATTTATAATTCAGATGATTATTCTTACATTTGAAATATGAAACCGTAAATGAAATGTTGCTTGTATGTTTAGACACAGAAACTTCATATGAATCAACAAATTCGTGATGGTGATTTTAATTAAAGAGTGTCGATTTCTGTCGTTCTTCCTCATAATCTGTTGGAGCACACACATTTATTATTTAAATCCGTGTAATGTGAACATGAGGTATCGTAAAGAAGAGGCTTAAGATTCGAAAAGTTGCAGAAAAACTAACAACGACATGGCAAAATAACCCATGAAAAACGACGAAAAAATCGAACAAATCCAGAAATCACTACATAGGCAACTAAAGATTGAGCAACATGAAACCCATCAAAAAACCGGAGTGAAACGTTTCAGTTGAAATATGTAAGCGCCATACAATAGTGACAGAGGGTATGTTCTGTTCCCCTGAGAAATTGGAAGTTGATAATAGGAAAGTTGAAATAATTACGCTTGTTATAGATTCTAGTTTGAAGTTGTTTATTTGTGTCAATATGATATAAAAGATCAAGATATAAAGCACACATTCATTCCATTATTTTAAGTTAACTTATCTGATACAATCACTCACCATATACAGTTGTAGTATTTCTGTTAAGCGGATTATTATGTAAAGGTCAACAAATAATAAAACAATTTAGAAACTATATTTTTTATGATCATCCTTGTAAAAAGCCAACCAGCATGAAAATAATTGTAAAATATTTATTATAAACTGAAAATATATTTTTACGAAGTAACTAATTAAGTTTAATGATTAGTGTTGCCACATTCTATCAGTGCCTGTCCCAAGTCACCAGTCTGTAACTCAGTGGTTGTTGTTGGTTGCTATCTGTCTTATTTGTATTTTGTTAGTTTATATTTTTTTCAGAAATCAGGCTGTTGTCTTAGGATGTGATTTGTTTCGCATTTTGTCATGTCGGGGATTTTTATAGCTGACTTTACAGTAGGGGTTTTTCTATTTGTTGAAGGTCATATGTTGACATATAATTGCATTAACCATTTTATTTGGACTCTGTTGGATAGTTTTGTCCCATTGACAATCATAAACCATCTTCTTGATTAAGTTTATTTTTTCATTAGTCTTATATCTTTAGTTGTTTCTAGTCTGTCACATCGGGCTATTACATGCGTACTAAATTTTATTTCAACCTATATCTTAATCTTTTAACTATAAAGTGACAATAACTCTTTCAACTATATGATTCCTTTTCTGATCTTTTCAAAAGCTTATATACATTACTTTCGCTACTAATTTCAACCTTAGTGGTGTACTAACCCGAAAGTTACAACCTCCAGGAATATATGTCTTAAACTAGATTAGAGACAATGGTTATTTACCATATTTTGTTTCAATGGTTTTCAACTTCGTTATTGATTTGAGTGTCCCGATACGCGTTAAGCCTACTAATTGTCAGCCTTGTATCTTTGATGAGTTTTTTTTTATTCATTGATAAATATTCTCTGTTTTATCTTTAATGTAAATAAAGCATGCGCTACAATTAACATTTTAATTCTGATGTCTAATTATACCCCACGCAACGAGTTGCGGAGGGTATAATGTTTTTGACCCGTCCGTCCGTCTGTCTGTCTGTCCGTCCGTCAGTCCGTCAGTCCGTCAGTCCGTCAGTCCTGTTTCTTGTCATCGCAACTCCTCTCAAACCACACAACAGAATTTCACTATGTAGTTGTGCATATCGACAGGAAATTACGATTCAATTCTTTTTCTAGGAGTTACGCCCTTTTGAACTTAGTTACTTTAATGTACTACTGCAACAGTTTGTCATCGCAACTCATCTCAAACCACACAACAGAATTTCATGAAACCTTTTCAGAAAATAAAGACATACTACGTAGATGTGCATATCGACAGGAAATTACGATTCAAATTTTTTTCCAGGAGTTACGCCCCTTTGAACTTATTTGCCCAATATACTACTGCAACCTTTTGTCATAGCAACGCCTCTCAAACCACACAACAGAATTTCATGAAACCTTTACAGATAATAAGGACATACTATGTAGATGTGCATATTGACAGGAAATTACGATTCAATTTTTTTCCACGAGTTACGCCCTTTTGAACTTATTTGCCCAATATACTACTGCAACCTTTTGTCATCGCAACTCCTCTCAAACCAAACAACAGAATTTCATGAAATCTTTTCAGACAATAAGGACATACTACGTAGATGTGCATATCGACAGGAAATTACGATTCACTTTTTTTCCAGGAGTTACTCCCCTTTGAACTTATTTGCCCAATATACTACTGCAACCTTTTGTCATTGCAACTCCTCTCAAACCACACAACAGAATTTCATGAAACTGTGTAGATAATAAGGACATACTATGTAGATATGCATATTGACAGGAAATTATGATTCAATTTTTTTTCTGATACAATTTTTTTTTCTTACACTTATCTTATTTCTCCAATGACAATGTGGGGACGTGGGGTATGCGAGCGCGCTCACTAAGGTTCTTTAATTATGCCATGCTGTGATACGGGTTATATTCTCGTATAATTCATGCTGGCATGATACCAAACCCCTATCGCGAGGAATTGTGGTTGATTTTCATATAATTACATTGCCTATATGTTTCCTTATAATACGTTATTTTGATTGGCTAACATCAATCTCGCGTCATTGTGAAGTCAACCTTAATAAATATTCTCGGTTTTATCTTAAATGAAAATAAAGCATGCGCTACAATTAACATTTTAATTCTGACCCCTAATTATGCCATGCTGTGATACGGGTTGTATTCTCGTATAATTCATACTGGCATGAAACCAAACCCCTATCGCAAGGAATTGTGGCTGATTTTCATATAAATACATTGCATATATGTTTCCTTATAATACGTTATTTTGATTGGCTAACATCAATCTCGCGTCATTCTGAAATCAACCTTCATTTCAAAATGAAATGTAACATTAATGATGACACGACCTGCCATGAGCTGCCACAATAAAGTGAAATAAAAGAAAAACTTGATATAAATTGTGTTTTCATGATCATAACAAAAAAATTTTAATTATAATTATTGAATGCTTATTTTGGTAATTTTATAGGGTAAAAACGTTGACAGTGCGCACATTTTCAGCCGCGCTTCATACAAAATGTAGTTCGGTCAACGCTTTTACACCCCAATAAATTTACAAAAAGAAGCATTCAACTCCTTAATGATGAGGACATAATCTTTTGATCAGTTTAATTGAGGTCTGGTATGTCAGTAGTTCTTTGTTGATTTATGTTGATCATTGCCATTTTGCTTAGTTTCTTCTGTAACCTATTATAACATCGGACTCGGACTTCTTTTTAAATGGTGGCCTTGGGCTGTTTTCTTCTCTTTGATCGGGTTGTTGTCTCTTTGACACATTCCTCGTTTCCGTTCGCTATTCTATGGAATTATGTAATATTCCTTTATCACTGTTTATGGTTTTCATTCATTTAAATCTAGAATTTATATTTTGCATTTTTATTTGAGATTTTTTTTTTATTCTGCATTAATAAAAAAATCGCGATGGTCTTTCTTGTTTTTATTTTATTTATGAATTGTATGATAAAATGACAAATTATGAGGTTCTCGTTAATTTAAAAAAAAAATTGAACTTATTTTTTCTCTTATGTAGGAAGACAGCATACATATATTTATAAAAAATATACCAGAACTTCATCCTCAAATTTTTCTTTTGTATTTATTATTCAATTAAAGATAACGCACACTGAAATAATTGATTTTATATTTTTTTTTACACATTTTATTGAAATTAACAAGATTTACTGGGTACAGATCTATATTTAAATTAAATGTGTTGTGACGAATTGTGAATTTAGTCAGTATGATTGATATAATTTATTAACATTTAAAAATTAGCGTAATTCGATATTTTGAAACTGGGATATATGTGGGCCAATGTCCTCTAAATTTATGTAACACCTAGACTATGTAGGAGTAGTCGTTCAATCTTAAATCAAATGTACAGTAGACAAGTTTTGACAAATTTTCAGTATTTTGTACAAAACGGTTTAGAAGGATATTCTCATAAAAAAATCAAAATTAACTTTGAAATTAAGCTGTAGATTGTCTTTTGAATATAAATATTTTCAATTTGGTTAGTAACACCCAGCAATTTTTTTGGTCAAAATTATTTACTAAGCAACGTGTAACACTAAAATATATTTAATAATGGGAAATATGCAAAACTGTTGGGTTTTTAGTATACTAGTATAATATACATTATTTTGGAAATTTTCAATGGGACTTGTAACTTTTATATCTGCGAGTGAAACAATCACAGGAGTAATTGGCTCTACATTTTTCCATATCCAAGCTTGTTTTTCGAAATTTCAGACGAAGTATATTTAATTCATAGAGTTATTCCTATATTAGACTAGGTTATCCGATGGAGAATGACTGTCGTATATTTGTTCTAAAATATTTCTTAATATATAAGTAATAATTCTACAATTCAAAATCAAATTATTGCTCTAGGAAAAGGGTTTATGCAGTATATGATGAATAACTCCAAAATATTTATGTGGTAGAAAATCAAATACTAGTATATCATTCGGTAAATGGGTCTCTATTCATTACTCTGCTCATGTATCTTTTGTGTATTGTTAATTACCTGGACGAAGAGAAGGCTTCGTTGTTATAAATATGAATTGAAATAAAAGATTGTTTTGACAAGTTAAACTTATTAAGGTGGCACTGGTTTTACCTTTACTTCCGTGTAGCTGTATTAATAAAACTTATCATCATTGGTTCTTTTAACAATTTAAATATTTTCAATACTTTTATTTTTTGCTTGAACGATATTTAGATTAAAAGTATTTATTTATTCAAAATAATTGCTCTTTACGTGGAAAAAGTTTAAATCATTGGATAAGAAGCTTTTTACCTCAATTACAAGTATATGCATGCATGGTATAAACATTTAAACATTGTAAAATATTTTTGACTTATTGAAGTTGCTTTAAGAAGCGGTGCTCTTCAGTTAACAAGAAGGTCAGTGTACTGGTATTCTAAAATATGTTGTGTATAAAGTTGAAATTATTTTAACAATTCTTTGTCCCTTTAGACTTTTCTTTTCTTGACTAATTTCTTATTTTGATAATTTGGACACGTACAATTCATGAAAGTAGTTTATAATTATATTTGTAAAGGCCCACCGACCTTCGTATGTAGAAAAAATAACATTAAACTTTCGACATAAATCATCCGACTAACACGATTATTATGAAATCCACCCTGGTAAAATATCTGTAAATTTTTCATTTTTTTATGTGACGCTTTTTGTTGTTTTACTTTTTATTAAGTAATATAAAACTAAATGACCATATGTGCCTAAATTGATTTTGTTATTGCAAAATGAATGAATAAATAAATTATTTATTGAAAGCATTAAATATGACAAAGCAACGAAAATATAATACAACATGACTATTCAAAATAGTTGCACTCCTAGAAAGCATTCAACTTGGGTGCAAATGTTCAATAATTATATCAACGATACATAAATACATTGACAAAAAGAATGTAGTACATGTATACCATTTTAAATTGATTTTTAACTATTCATATGAAAAACGTGATGTACAATCAGGTTGGCAAAAACCCGGGTTTTATGAGTAGTGCCCAGCCCAGAGGGAAATACTGGGAAAACCTGGGTTTTACTGGGTTTTACTGGATAATACAGGGCAATACTGGGTAATATGAAATACTGATCTGAATTATAAAAAGGATTCAGTGATTAATCACAAATACAATACATTAAAGATATTTATACAATGAAACATAGTATTCTAAGTTATAAGTTCACTTGTTTGAGACTCTTATTATAAAGTGTAATATACTAACTCTGAGAAAGTATTGTTCCAGCAACTCTAATGTACATGAAGACACATTAGACAAAATGTGAAAAGCTTTTTTCAATAATCCTTCTAAAAATCAATTAACTCAACATTCTGTCGAGATTGGTCAAACTACTGTTAACATAAAGCCAAAAATTTAATTTGATTTTTTAAAAATATATATAACTATTAAGAATTAACAATTATATGTAAGGAAAATTACTTATAAACAATTTTTGTATTAGTATTTCTAAAAATGTTTACTAAGCAGTATATATATGTACATCACTAATTAATAAGTAATTATTCAGATTATAACACTGATTTGTTTACATAACAATAATCAACCTTTTCATTTCTTTAAGTGTTCATGACATGTCCCCCTAGGGTGTTTATCTAGCAATATGATTGTATGACAATTAAAATTTACAATTCACTTAAACACTGTAATAAAATGCATTTTTTCAAAGTTTAGATTATTGAAACAAAGCTTGGAAATTAACAAGGTACATATATCCTAAAATGTGCAAAACTTTATATAGAATTATTGGAGAAAAGGAAGAAAACTGAATTTTCAATCCGCTACAAATGGCTCTCAATGGTTATCTGTATAAAATGTATATATTTAGCTATAGTACTATGAAACTACAACAAGTCTTTACTATTCTGTGTAAAAATAAGCTTAAAAAATCATATTGCGCAGTATTACCTGTTTCTGGGAGTATTGCCCAGACCGGGAAAACCCGGGTTTTCCGCCTGGGTAAAACGTTGCTAACCTTGTGTACAATGTACCAATGGATACCATCCAGACTTTAAATTCAGTAAAGAAATAAATGTGTATGTTTACTGAATTTGACGTGACGTTCATAGTTAACGGCGTTTTTCTCACAATGACGTTATACCTATTTAAGCCATCGTTGGTCACACATAGCACGTGTTGACACGTCATGTAATAAATGGATTGAAAACACACAAGATGAATAATTTCCTCATATTTTTTTTCACAGAAACACGATGGTCCTTTCAAATTATGCATTCATCTTTATCCTGATAGGTAAGTTTTTATACACAGATACCACAAAATTAAGGATGTTCGCTAGTCTTGTGTTTGACTTTTTGTCAGATATTCGGAATCCTCTAGTTTTATCAATGCAGTGCCAATACAAATTTTGCCCGCTAATCTCTTTTCTTTTCATAATTTTATAACATATATTTTAAGAATTCTTTTATGAAAATCCTATAAAATCCTTGTTATTTTTTCATAAATTTTGAAAAGAATTTCCAATGTTAGATGTATGAAAAATTTAGAGAAAATCATTTCCAGCCAAATTTTCAATTTTATTATGTCTCAAAAACAAGGACACGAACCTGTATTTTTTCTGCTTTTTAAGTCCTGTTATTTATATGCTATCAATTTATAACAATCTTTTAAAAAGCTCGTTATTTTAAAACAGAGTAGCAAACATCTTTAAAAGACAGAAGATACTAATAATACATCAAATATAAAAAAAAAAAATCACCACATAAAGTAAAAAACCAAAAAGAAAAAGCCATCTATTAGTCTAATACCATAGATTCTTTATAAGCTCTAAAATGTAATTTTTTAAAAGTGACTCAAATTTAACATTGGCCGGGTATTTTTTTTATGCAGAAAAAAAATACCCAGATAATCATATAGGGTCTTTCGATAAGAATGATAAGTATATTCTTGCGCGTTTCCTGTATAAATAAAATTTATACCGAACGCATTAAATTAAGTATCTTATATTTAATGGCGTAAATAATATGCTATTCTGTGTATATCGACCATTTTGTAATATTAGTTTCAATAAATAAACTATATATATATATTTGATTGAATATTTATTTCATTATTTTTTTTTCAAATTCCTGCATCCACAGTAAATATAGTTAACAGAATAAATGTTGATGTCATTTATTGTTATGTGTTGGTATAGAACCAGTAATTCGGCACATCCAGAAAGAACATACATGAAAGTAGTACATATTTTTGATAAAAAAAAATAGTTCCTACGCATAGTGTCACTTTGTCAATAAGTAAATTTTTTGGTATTTTTGGTATCAAATGAAAGCTAAAGGACTTGGGATCACTGTAGAACCCTTGTTGAAAATTTCATTTGAATAATAAAAAATATATGAAAAAAAAAAAATAGGAGGCATAATTGCCCTGTTGTCCAGATCAGAAAAACCTGTTTTTGTACTACCCAACTTTCGGGAACCAGTGCGCTCTAATATGCAATCAAGAGTATGTTAATTTTTTTCAGCACAAGTCAGGATAAGATAAAGTTTTACATAAAATGACTATCATTTCATTTGAACTTACAGCACATAGACTTGAGTGTGTAGGTAAAGGTAGTATCTTTGGTTTGCTTGCTTGCTAGCTGAACCATGAAATCTTTACTAGCTACGGAACAACCTTCCTCTGGGCGGAGTCAATAGTTAAACAGAGAACCAATGAAAAGTAGGGACAGTGTATAAACATTGACCTGTTTTATAACTCAGTTTAAAAATAGGTTTTCATTCTAAATTCAATGTTTTAGGTGTGTTTAATATGTCAAAATCATTTTGATATACCGTAAATTGGGAAATTTTGGCGGTTTTCTCTCAAAAGGCATGTGTTTTATTTTGGTGTGTGTAATTTTGGTGCTTCGTCCAATTGTTTTGTTTAATTTTGGCACAATAGTAGTGAGCAAACTATTCTTATTTGCCCTTATTTACCCGTTTATTAACAAAATATCTGAGTTCTGTTGTGAATAGCAATTCAAGTTGTGTTTTCTTAACAATTTTAGAAAATTGACATTTAAGTTAAAATTATAAAGTGTTGTTTTCAAATTATACCAGGTATTTATTTGCAGATTTTGCTATGTAAAGAATCGTAGGAAATATACGGAAGATAATATAGCATAAAAATATTTACCTGTAATTTCCCAACAATTAACATTACGATAATGTCATACCGGTACGCGATTTTGGCGTTTACATTTATAGTGTTTGCGTTATTTTCGTGTGTTTAGGTTAATTTTGGCACTTTCATTGGAGGCGCCAATAAAACCAAATTAAAACTGCAACCAAAACAACCCAATTTACGATACTACTTTTGATTGGTTCTCTGCTATTGACTCCGCCCAAAAGAAGGTAGTAACTTAGCTAATAATGATTTCATGGTCAGCTAGCAAGCAAGCAAATCAAAGATACTACCTTTACATAAACACTCTATGTGCTGTAAGACAAAATACCTATGAATGCTTCAAGTTGCAGAATTCAACATAGAAAGCAATGGGGCTATGAATTAGTGGTGTCATACCTGTTCAGAGATCTCTCTGTCATTGACGTATACCAACGTCTCCTTTTATCCATATGAATGTTAACCTTGTAGGGCTTCTAGAATTATCCATCGCACACTATGCAGAAGTACATGCTCCTTGGAAAATACAAAGTCGTGAAGCACACTCGTTCCTCACAGCTCCAACTAGAAACAAAAGAAGTGATCCTGCTTGCAATACACATGAGGGTTATTGTGAAGCAAACAAACATAGCTGTATGGTAAAGAATTAATTAAATATAAGAAAGAAATATCGAATATAGATATGGTATCACCTTCACTTAACAAGCTGATGGATGTTCAGGCTTTTAAGAAAATAAGATAATGAGTGATCGTGTAATTAGCATTTATATATCCAAAAAATCCGTTCAAAAAGTTCAATACTTTGTCTGTGGATCTCGAAAAATTAAATAAATTTCAGCGTACTGAAAATCAATATGATATTTTGTTCAAATGACACCATAATGATTTGAAAAAATAGATAATGCATAAAACATTTCCCTTGTTATTTAATGATGATTAGTTCGCTTTTTGTTGGGGTGGGGTAAGGAGGCATTTATAAGGGCATTTATAGACGGATATTTAAACTCATAAGTCGATAAAAAGACTGACATCGCCATGGCAAAAAAGATAAAAAAACAGGAAAAAAAACCAAAAATCGATAACAGAAAATGGTCGGTCAACCAAAATAAAATACAATTGCTTTGACATATAGTGAAATTATCAAAATTAAATATTTTAACAAAAAGTTCTCTTTTTGCAATTTTCATTATATCAATCGGAGATGCTTTCTGTCATAGTCAAAATATTTTTATTGCATTCCTACTACAGAAAGAAAGATTGATTGACAAATAAAAAATATAGCTGACGTCTGTCATATTTGTTTTTTGTTTATTGATTTAGCATATATCAGGCTGCTAGTTTTCTCGTTTGAATTGTTTCACATTTTGTCATATCAGGGCCTGCTATAGCTGACTATTCGGAATGGGTTATGTTCATTGTTGAATGCTGAAAGGTGACACATACTTGCTTCCATGAACGTTATTTGGTTTCTCTTGAATAGTAGTTAGCAATCATGTCTGTTTATTTTTTGTTATCTTCTATCAATTTTTATCTCACCTGGCCCGATAAAAAATCTGCTAGGAATTCCAAGATGATTATCATAACAAGATCTACAAAAAAAACATTTGTCATTTAAAAGTGAAAACAAGACGTTATAAATTCAATGCGTCCAAAGCGCTTTTCTGGATTTACCTTCATTAGGAACGCTCAAAGCCGAATATTTGACTATTAAATGACGATCTCTAACATTTTTTTTATAATTCGCGAATAAATTTGAATAGATTCTAGCAGTTATAAACTGCAAACAATAAAAAAGATCATTAGTACTAGATCAATAAAATGACTATATAAAATCTACAAATCAGAAACAAATAAATGATATAAACGACTATAAGAATCAATTTCGAAATGATGCATTTTGATACAAAGGTAAGCGATTCGATTCAGTTTTTATTATATTTCGTAAGTTAGCAAACTAGAAAATCCTAAAATATGCTGTTTTTTTTTCTAATTATCATTGTCTACAGTTGAAATATTGCAATTCTGAATAATAAATGCTTTTGAATGTCTGTTAAAGAGGCGAAAGATACCAAAGGTTATGAATTATTAACCCTTTTGATGATACAGTTCCAGAAAAAAGGAGGCAAACTACATAACGAATTAACGGTATTTATTTTATTGCACCAGATGAACATTTAGACAATAAAAGTGTCATGTAACTAGTGTCAACATAATCCTAGTGAAAGGATCATGGTACAATATTTCTTTCATGAAATTATGTATATTGCCAAAACTTACCTTATTATGGTAATTGTATCTTGAATGATGTAAACAAAAATGCACATATAACACTAAATTTCAGATGCACAACGAACAATCTCGGGAGCATTATTGTGGCCTGGGTCATTCTTGTACTGCAACACAAGCTTGTTACCTATCTACACCCTGTCCAGCACATTATGTATTAGGCTGTACAGGTAATTAGTATTACTGTATGGAATAGACTATTTTCATATTACCGACTTTTGTCTTTGTAGTATATATTTTTTCCGACAGGATACCTACTATGTGGTAAGACATTCTGATACTCAGTCAAGTAAGAGTAACAACAAAAAAATCAAGCCTTGTTTTTAAATATTTCGGTAGGAGATAATTGACCAAAAGGGACCATATTCAAACCAAACGACTAAACATTGTGTTGAATGAAATCCGCAATTCAAACGACTATAATACTATTAATTTTGTGCGTCTGAAGAGTTTCTAAAAAAAACATTCATCAGGAACGCTCACACCAAAAAAATTGAAAGCCATAGATGTCTAAATACATAAAATGTGAGGAGCTATATGACCACAAGGGACATACAAATATAGATATACAATATTAGGTCAATGTCAGAAATATATAAATGTTTTTTGTATGAGGCTGAGAAACTGGTGAAGGGCGAGGTTGAACCGAACCCTTCCCTAGTTTTGTGCCGAATACAAAAACAATTAATTTTTCTGACATTGACCTAATATTGTGTTTATACTGCAACTTAATTTGATACATTTATAGCTATTTACATTGTAACGCAAATTTCAAACTTATTTTCATCCCTTAATGAACCCCTGATTGTGGAAAAGGTGATCCATGATGAAATTGACATTGCACAAAATATAGCTGTGTTATTATATTTAGGAAATAAACACAACTTGTTGTAGTATAACTAAATTTATCTGAGATCAACTTTAGTTTCTTTTAATACTTTCTCGATTCATTAATTTAATATTCAACATCATGATTTGATATTTGTACGTTGATAGAAATATTTTGTCTTTCTTTTTCTGTTTTGACCGTATAAATTGATACATTTTCATTTTAAACCATTAGACAATCAGTGTCTTTCCTTCCCATGCGAAAATGGAGGAACATGTCAAGAAACAAGTTCTACCACTTACGAATGTCAATGTGATCCAGGCTGGGATCCAGCCACTAACTGTGCTGATGGTAGGTTTTATTCCGGAAATCAGTAACTTTATTTGTATTTTGTATTGAGTGGTTTAAATGTTTTGAATCTGGGCTTTGCCAACCGTTTTTTTTTTACAAAATAAAATAACCGTCTCAGTCATCACGAAACCCTTTATCACAATCTATGACACAATAATAAATATAAATGTCAAACAGTCCACATTTATGGTGAATACAAAATAATATTCTTTCCAGAATCTTCCTTGTTCATTAAGATAAAATTTGTGCAGTCTTTAGGATCTTCGGTCTACCTACTGTTTGGCAATGTACGACACCGTCAAATAAACAATCAATGGCCAGTAGACAATGTTTAACCCCGCCGCATTTTCGCGCCTATCCCAAGTCAGGAGCCTCTGGACTTTGTTAGTCTTGTATGTTTTTTAATTTTAGTTCATTTATATGTTTTGGAGTTTAGAGTGACGTCCATTTTCATTGAACTAGTACACTTTTTTGTTTAGGGGCCAGCTGAAGCCCGCCTCCGGGTGCGGGATTTTCTCGCTGTGTTGAAGACCCATTGGTGGCCTTCGGCTTTTTTCTGCTCTTTGGTCGGGTTGTTGTCTCATTGACACATTCCCCATTTCCATTCTCAAATTTAATGACTAATATCTTATCTTATTAATCGCATTCATTTCTTCATAAACAGAAAAAACTTAATGGAAAATGTAAAGAATATTGTTTTATGCTTTTTTGATGTAAAAATATTGTGCCTGTCCCAAGTCAGGAGCCTGTAATTCAGTGGTTGTCTTTTGTTGCTATGTAACATATTTGTATTTTCGTTCATTATTTTGTACATAGATTAGGCCGTTAGTTTTCTCGTTTGCATTGTTTTACATTTGTCATTTCGGGGCCTTTTATAGCTGACTATGCGGTATGGGCTTTGATCATTGTTGAAGGCCGTACGGTGACCTATAGTTGTTAATTTCTGTGTCACTTGGTCTCTTGTGGAGAGTTGGCTGATTGGCAATCATACCACATTTTCAATATCTTCTTGTATATTAGTTGTCATAATTCATGGCACACACTATTCCTTCTTAATGCTTAAGGCAAATATATAAAATGTTTGTAATAACATTTAGTGCACGTTAAACCAATTTTCAGTTTGGTTTTATTCATTTCATTTTCCCCAAATCTGTAATAATGAATGATTCAGGGTTTCCTTTAACTAAAAGATAAACCAGAGTTCTCATTATTCGTCTTTATATTCCTTAACGTAACTTTTTTTATTGTATATTAATCACAGAAATAGATGAATGTTCATCTAGTCCATGTCAAAATGGCGGTACCTGTACGGACATGCTCAATGAATACGTCTGTTCCTGTACTCCTGGGTATACAGAAAAGAATTGTCAAACAGGTATTTTGAGAAAAAAAATCATAAGGCATTTGTTTATCTTGAATATTGTGAAAACCATATATGTTGCTGTCCAAAATAATTTTATTATTTACAGTGTAATTTTCCTGTTTTTAATTTGCATATGACTTAATGAATTCAAAAGAGTTACTATCTTGAAATATCAACTCATTCTGCACATTTACACAATATGTATGTTGCATCAATTTGTTGATCGATAAATATTTCATTTGTTAGTTTTTGAACAAGTTATTTTAATAAAGTCCTGCTAATTTACACCAAGTTTTATGTAGAGGAAACGCGCGGAGAACGTACCAAATTATAAACATCGTATCTTTGATAAGTTTTTACCAAGTATGAAGGTCACATTATTCACAAGTCTCCCAAAGAATTTCCATCCTGAATTCGAATTTAACACGTTAAAATCGGTATTTTCAGATATAGATGAGTGCGCATCTTATCCTTGCCAAAACAGCGGAACTTGTACTGATCACGTGAACGAATATAGCTGTTCCTGTGTTCCTGGGTATACTGGCATAAATTGTCAGACAGGTAAATATAAATAAATGTCGGCTACATGTGAATGATGATCAAACGTTAAACCTAAAAAATGAAAAACCATGGGGCAACTTATCGTCATCACTTACAGGGAGTTGTCAAACACTTTAATTTACCCGATGATTAGCTTGTTACACACATCATATCACACCTCCTTATTTTTTTATTCTTGTGGATGAATGTAACTAAGACTTTCAAAGATTTCTCATCCATACAAAATTACTCAAAGAACAAACTGTGTTATAAACAAAAAACACTGACACTTTAAGTGTTAAGCCACATTAACATAGGGCAAGTTTAAACAAGTCTTGTTCAGAATTCAAACCTGCCGGATAAAAAAGGTATACGATAAAACATACAGAAAAAAACCCAACATTTTACTTAATTTCATCTGTATAGTAAACGATAAAAACAAGGTGACAATTCAGTTAACACCAATAATTTATGTATCAAATAATGTTTGACTCTTTTTTCCTAGTCTGGTCATCTTTCAAGAGTACCAGAAAACACTCTCATTTTTTGGTGGGGTTCGTGTTGCTTTGTCTGTAGTTTTACAGAGTTTTTTTATACTGCATTTGTCTTTTCGTCGTTTTCGGTTTTTTGTAATTGTATTGTCGATTTTTCTTCGACTTCTGATTTTTTCTTATCCACTGTTTCAAAAAATGCATATAACTGACTTCTGGGCCGACGATACCCCCCAGAAAGAAATGCCAAAAAAAGCAGTGGCATCGTTCAAGTGGTTGCAACAGCTCATCAAGATACCAGGGCATTTAGTTCATAAACAAGACGTTAGTTTCTGGAATTGAAAAAAAACGCATTTTATTACCATACTCAGGAAACAGGCTTATTGTATTTATCATGCTAGCCCAGAAAGAAATAGTCGGCTGCAAAAAAAAAAAGCCAAACAAAACCCATGCGTGACACAAAGCTAAACAAAATGCTGTAACTCCTGAAGGCTTGCTTACTGAGGGAGAAACAGCAAGGATTAATTTGAAATGTCATTGTTTATGCCCAGTTGTAGATCCAATACAAGACCCCAAATGCGACCATGCTTCAGCTAGACTACTCGTATGCCGACGTTTATGTTCTGTATGTACACACTCCTCGTGATTTTAATTAATCTTTCATTTATCAGTCATCGTACCAAAATTTTACCACTTTTCCAAATGCAGTTAACGGAAATATGTTATAATGAAACTTTATTCGAAAGCAACACAGCTTATAGAATATACATTTTACATTAAATTTTCAATGAATCAGTTAATTATCAGTAACAATCATTATACGAAATATACGTATGGCGGAGAATGACAATAATCATATGATAAATAAGGAATACAACTACATATTACGGATTTGTTCGATATTGAACAAAAATTTACCTAAATTATTAAGTTCTTTCAAATTGTAAACTGATAACTGTATAAGGTTAAAAGTTGATGGTTTTTGCCAATAAAAGTATATTTACAATTTTATATATTATTTTCTTACATCGCTGTACCTGCCACATTCTAAAATATATTGGTATTCATCTTCAACAATATCGATATTGTACATAGTACATAACCTATATGTTCATCTGCATTGTAATATCTGCCTTTCTCTAAATTGTGACCATGGGCAGAGATTTGATATTTAAATTCCAGAAAGGTTTTATCACTATCAAATTCATTTTTGCAGGTTTTTCAGTCTTAAGTTTGCAATAAATCCCACAAATAAACAAAATATCTGGATTCGATTTTTTCCTGTCATTTTCACTGACGCATGCACATAGATATATCTTAATTTCATATACTTTCAACTTTGATTTTCGATCTTTAAATCTTTTCGTCAGTCTGTACCAAGTCTGGATATCTAGACCAAGCGTTGTTCATTGTTTCTTATCCTATTGTTTGTCTGTTGTTAATTTTTCGCAGGTACTATGAATTGGTTATATATTTCATTATTTTTTGGGATTAATGTTTTAACTTTTGATATGTAATTCAATTATAATGTATGTTTTTTCAGATTATAACGAATGTGGCTCAAATCCTTGTCAAAATGGCGGAACATGTACTGACCACTTGAACGGATACAGTTGTTCGTGTGTCCAAGGCTATAATGGAGATGACTGTCAAACAGGTCAGCTTTTCGTATCCTTCGCTATTTCAAAGATACGTGTCTCATAAAAACTGAAGTTCAAACCAAAAAATGATTATAGCTCAATTATTAAATATCAAAATCATATGCCTTAAGGTATTTCCAGTATTGCTGTTCTGGGCAGGAATATTTCGCTCTAAATGTTTTGTGTGTTCGCATTCAAACTGCCTCTTAAATATGATATTTTTTTTCATTTGCATTCCAATCTTGTTGATTCTTATTTATATTATGTTCAAAGAAACATTTTGCTCAGGTTTATTTTGAATATTATCAAAATTTTGGTTTTAATATCATTTCAGATATTAACGAATGTGCTTCCAACCCTTGTCAACATAATGGAACGTGTAGAGACCAGGTGGATGGATACAGTTGTTCTTGTGATTCTGGATATGATGGACTGAATTGTCAATCAGGTATTATTGTCTTATCATTTAAACAACTAAAACAAGGTTTAATACAGTCAATTATTAGGAAATAGTATTTATGGTTTAATTCCATATCAAAATCCATACCATGATCCAATTACAGAAGCCAAATACACAAAACTGAAATGACTAAAAAAATATCTATTCTAGTAGTTTGTTTTTGAAAGACTTTCATTGAGACGCAAATGCATTGTCTAAGATATGATTTTATCTTTCGGATTTTTGGGTTCTCATTGCTCTTCAACATCGTACTTTAGTTGGCCTTTTTAACCCTTTTTATTCGAGCGTCACTGATGAGTCTTTTGTAGATGAAACGCGCGTTTGGCATATAAAAGTTTAATCCTGGAATTAATGATAAGTTTATTTATGACAGCTTCCTTGTCGATTTGTTGCACCCATTAGATTTCAATACAGTCTTATTCATTTTAAAATTTTGTTAACGAAACTGGAAATTGTGCTATGCATAACTGTACTTTATTACTTACAGTGCATGATTCCTGTTTATTATTTGCATATGGGTTCATGAATTTGAAAGATATATCATATTAAAATATACACCATCCTCACATTTACAGAAGATGTCTGTTGCATTACTTTGTTGGTCGGTAAAAAATCGATATGTTTGAATTTGGGCGAGTAATTTATCTGCCAAAAAAAAATCGTTTTTTAACACTTTTGAATTCCTGCTCATTTACCAAGTAGAAAAAAAACAGCATTCATCAATGCTGGAATCGAATATAACGTGTGTACTTTTTTCAGATATAAACGAATGCGCATCTAATCCTTGTCAGAACAGCGGAACTTGTGCAGATCACGTGAATAAATATAGCTGTTCTTGTGTTCCAGGGTACTCTGGCATTAATTGTCAGACAGGTAAATATAAATAAATATGGGCTGCATGTATACGACGATGAGATAGTAATAAAATCAAAATAAACTAGGAGAAGTCTTAAGATATCTAGGGGCAATATCTAATAGAACCAATCGTATACTGTTAACATATCTAAATCCATACGATCGTGCATCTTTACATTAAACGAACTTCATTAACTTAGGTGTGATCCTGTCACAAAATATGCACCATGTGTTTTTTTTTTTTACAAAAGGACGACTGAAATTGATACTCATTAGTTTTACGGTCACCATCACGAATAGGTTGGCCGGTACGATGTATCTGTATCTCTTCTCACTACGGACATGTTTCATAGTTTTAGAATTTCAGATATCACAATAGTGCCCTAATCTGTAAATTTTCCGATTGTATCCTATTCTGAATTGAGACATTTTGTCTGAGTGGATTAACATAGCGGTTGGTGCAAGCATAGCAGTAGATGATTACACAGTCGACCAACCCGTACTTGATCCTTTTGGATCCCCTCAATATTATTTGTGTTACCTTGAATTGTATTTACTTATAGGATCATTTGGATTTGAACATTGGTAAACTAACGTTGCCTCTAATTTAACTAACAATTAAGGATAAGGCACTTAATAATCCCGGGTTAGACAGTAGTGAATTAAGTTAACAAAGACTTACGACGACCTTTCATAAATTAAACATTTTTTATAAAAAAAAAACTGCGATAAAAAAGCAACCGGAGACGAGGTTCCTGCAACTTTTAACAGTCATAATTACGATTATGAGCTCATCATCTTTTAAATAAATTTTTGATTTTTCAAATATTGGACAATGGGCATCTGGTGCAGTAAAATTGGTATTAATAATGTTGTTATAACAAAGGGAAAATTGGAACTAGTCTTAATGATTATTTAAACATCCCTGTTCTCTTCTTAATATGTCTTTTAAAGATAATAGTTAAAATAGAACCTCATGAAGGTTTACCAAAAATATAAAAAAAAGTACATATACTTGTTTGCAAAAAGTATTTTCGTTTTGTTCAAGTTTATTTTGAAAAAAAATATATTTCAAAAAGTAAATTTATTATATTTAATCATAATCTTCAAATAATCGAGAATTCAAAAATGTGTATATATTAAAGGGGCATTAGCTACGAGATATAGAAAAAAATAAAATATGATTTTTTTTTGTTCAATCATTTATGAAAGTAAAATAGTGATATAATAATTCGCTTTTAGCAGCCAGTTTGGTTCAGTTTTGTCAAAATAAACAAAGAAACACCACTGATGAATAATTCACTTGCAAGTGAAAAATTTGACCTCATTAAATCCATATTCATGTTAACTTCAATTGAACCCCCTAGCTAAAGATGGGTTACGCATGAACAAGGAGTGTTCAGCTATTAAAAAGAAAAGAATGTCAACATTGGAAGTGAAATAAGGGCAAATCATTTGGTTGACTGATTCGATCTACAAAAACTCATTCTTATACAGGTAAAAACGATTATTAACATATGTTTTAAACCTATAATATGAAATCAAACAGACCTTGATAAATCTAATTGCACGAGTTCGCTATCTATTTATATCGATGTTTATGTTTATATCGGGTTATATGACCGTCGGCAGTCTTCGGAGGTCACCTCGATGGTAAATTAGAAGGCGTTTAGACTAAAATAGACACGAAATGTTGATACATATGATCGAGTCCGTGCATCGTAAATTGTTTATTTTAGACTTTTTATAATTTGGATATACGTTTTAGTATGTTATAAATCAAATATGAGAATTTGAGTCAAATCTGTGAACATGAGTTTGACAGCTAATGCCCCTTTAATACACATTTCTTATTGCATGATATTAACATAATTAAAGAAAAAGAATGGTTGACGGCAAGATTGTACGATCTTGACACATGGTTCTTATTTCGAATCAATATATCAATTTCCAACAACATGTGTTTTCAGGTTTTAATTGGAAACATGACAGAATGCACTTCATGTTTACCTTCATATTTGTTAAATGAAAATGACACTTTATGAATTTCGTGCGTCCGAAGCGTTTTTTTTTCTGGATTAAACTGATAATTTGAAAGCAAATAATATCTAAATACGTGATGAGCGAAATGACCAACGAGGATAAAAAAATTGCCACATCTAAGGTTTGAAACCTTAATTTCTTTATCATTTCTTAATTTAACAAGGGAGCAATTAAGAAAGTTATGTTATAAACCATGTAAGTCCCGTAGCACTGCCAACTTAGCTGATGATACACCCGGGGTCTACAAGTCCATCAGCAGTGGTATATCCGTTTAGTCAACATTTGATCAATAAATATTTAAACTTTTTAATCTGAATCTAAAACTAATACCACTCTATAGAGAAAATCTCATAAGCGTTTACATTATGATAAATTTAAAAATCAACATTAGACTATATGTTATACCAAAAAATAAAATGTCTGCAAGATATAACTTATTGGTATTAGAGTTGTTTCTCTTCCAACTGAATGTTTTGTTTAAAAAACTTATAACATTACGACCATGAGATATCATGAATTTCTACCAATGTCAAAATATACGGTTCTTAGGGACACCAGCACAGGAATGAACGAAATGACTAAAAATCTCTTTCGAGAACTCGTTTTCAACAGTTTTAGTAGCTCAAGCAGTTAGTTTTCCATTTACTAAGTTATATCATATTATACATAATAAATAATATTATTTACAGATATAAATGAATGTGCCTCAGATCCGTGTCAGAATGCTGGGACGTGTACAGACCAAGTCAATGTCTACATGTGTACATGTGATCTAGGATATGCTGGAGTAAATTGTCAAACAGGTATTGTCATTTTAGGCAGAGGAAACTGAAACAAAATGTTAATATGATACAGAATTCATGACAATAAATTAAGAACGGTTGTTTATTTTTGATGATTCGAGATACTATGAAATTTGTTTTGGAATGAATCATCCCGATCGTTTATAATACACTGAAATTGAAATGTATGTAAATGAAGCTATAAAGTACATATGTATATAAAAACAAATAATATTATGTTTTAGATATTAATGAGTGTGCATCTGACCCTTGTGAAAATGGCGGAAGTTGTACAGATAACGTGAGCAGATACACTTGCTCATGTGTACCTGGGTATATTGGATCAAACTGCGAGACAGGTATTTAATTACATCTAGTTGTTTAATACCATCGATGTTTCTATTATTTCCAATGTAGAATGAGAATAACAATTGATTAATTGGTAAGTATGAAGAGTTTGCTCTACCTTCATCAAGATCATCGAAATTGGCAGTAAGGAAATATACTTTTAAAATTTTTTCAACTGATACTACACGAAGATACTACAGCCTAAAATGTGGTCTTCAGTTGTCAGGTTTATTCGTAGGTTTCGACTGATCTTGTAATTGTCAACGATGGACTAATCTGTTTTACTAAAATCATCTTGCCGTCGACACGTCTCAATGAACTCAAGTTTGCTTCAATCAATAACTTCCTTTTTGTTTTTAAGGATTTCGGGATCGCCTTTTCCACTGTTAGTTCACCCCTGAATTTAAATTTCAGCAATAAGAAATGCCTTTTGAGAATTCATGTTAACTTTCTATGAATTTTTTTTCCAAGTTATAACAACAATGTTACAAACATTTAAGTTACTTCCCTTTAAAAAATACATTTGAAAGCAAGGAACTTTCCCTATAGTACTTGAGTTTATTAAACAAGGGTATCGTGCTTATCATATACTTTTGCCGTACATGTTTATTATCCTTTACCTGTAAGTGTATAGTTTAATAAGTGGTGAAAAAAATCACTTTTTTATAGGTTTTAAACACGTAGTATATCCGATTTTAAGCCCCTTGAAGTCTTACCTTTTTTTACTGATTAGAAAGTTACATCATTAAAATATTTCCTTCGAATATACATGCTGAAATTGATTGTTAGTATTAAAATAATAAAAAAACTGGTATTTCAGATATAAATGAGTGCACATCTATTCCATGCCAAAATAGCGGAACGTGTACAGATCAACTAAACGGATACAGCTGTTCTTGTGTTCCAGGGTATTCTGGCTCAAATTGTCAGACAGGTAAATATGAATTATGGAGTGATATACAGTCGAATACAATGTAAAAATCATTTCAGGTAAAAGGAATTGCCCTTAAAAACAAAACACATAGTGTCTGTCAATCTAGCGTGTATATTGACAGTCTTAAAGCATGTAGTATATCAAAGAACGGATTTCATGATATTATTAATAAGTAAAATATTAGAGTTATTTCTCTTCCAACAGAATGTTCTGTTTAGTGTAAAGTGTGCCATTACGAACGTTTGATATCAGGATAATAGGAATCTCTAACCAATGTAAAATATACAGTTCTCTGGAGGACTTCAGTAAAGAAAAGAATGAGGTGAACAATGCCTATCCGTAACTGCATCTTACAGGTCTAGTTTCGCAAGCAGTTAATTTTCCATTTACTCGGTTATATCATATTATACATATTAAATTATTTAATTTACAGATATAAATGAATGTGCATCAGATCCGTGTCAGAATGCTGGGACGTGTACAGACCAAGTCAATGCCTACATGTGTACATGTGATCTAGGATATGCTGGAGAAAATTGTCAAACAGGTATTGTCATTTTAGGCAGATGAAACTGAAATAAAGATGTTAAGATAACACAGATTTCATGACAATGATAGAAGAACGATTGTTCATTTTTGATGATTCGAGAAACAATTATGATTTTATTGATATGAAAATGTAATAATACTAGTCATTCCGATTGTTTATTGTTGACTGTATGATATCAGAAAAAAAATTAAAATGTATATAATTGTAGCTATATAGTACATATGTAAATAAACCAAATAACGTCATGTTTTAGATGTTAATGAATGTGCATCAAACCCTTGTAAAAATGGTGGAAGTTGTACAGATAACGTGAACAGATACACTTGCTCATGTGTACCTGGGTATATTGGATCTAACTGCCAGACAGGTATTTAGTTACATCCAGTTGTTTAAAACCATCAAGGTTTTTAGTATTTACAATGTAGAATGAATGAAAATAAAATCGATAAATTAAAATTTATGTGTACTTTCAAAAATTTCTATGAATTTGTTTTCCAATTGATAACAACAATGTTACAAACATTTAAGTTACTTCCCTTTAAAAAATAGATTTGAAATGCGTATTTCTTTAGCAAGGAACTTTCCCTATAGTACTTAAGTTTATCAAACAAGGGTATCGTGCTTATCATATACTCTTGTCGTACATGTTTATTGTCCTTTACCTTTGATTGTATAGTTTGATAAGTGTTGAAAACATTTACTTTTTTATCGGTTTCGAACAAGTAGTATATCCGATTTTAAGCCCCTTGAAGTCTTACCTTTTTTATTGAGTATCAAGTTACATCATTAAAAAAACTTCCTTCGAATATACATGAAATTGATTACTAGTATTACTATAAAAAAATCTGGTATTTCAGATATGAATGAGTGCACATCTATTCCATGTCAAAATAGCGGAACGTGTACAGATCATGTAAACGGATACAGCTGTTCTTGTGTTCCAGGGTATACTGGCTCAAATTGTCAGACAGGTAAATATGAATTATGGAGTGATGTACGACGATAAAACAATAACCCTCAACCACAAAACAAAACAAAACAAAACGTTTAACGACAAAGAGAGAACAAGGCCGTACAGTGACCTATAGTTGTTATCTTCTATGTCATTTGGTCTCTTGTTGAGAGTTGTCTCATTGGCAATCATACCGCATCTTCCCATTTTAAAAAAAACTTTCTCCACAGACGGACAAGTTTAAAAAGTAGATCCTCTAGGGTATATACAAAACAGTTCGAAAAAAATTTCGAAAAAAGATTTTGGATAAACATTTCGGAATTTTGGGTCCTCATTGCGCTGCAACTTCGTAATTTATTTGACCAACTCATGTTTTTTTATTCGAGAGTCACCGATGAGTCTTTTGTAGACGAAACACGGGTGTAGCGTACACAATTTTATTCATGGTATCTATGATGAGTTTATATACAAGTTGTGAAAACTTTAAGAGAGTTTTCCAAATGTATGTCATCAAAAGCAAGTGAACTTAACGATAACAAACACATTTAAGTGGTCAACTATTGACTTGATTGATTTTTGAAGATAGGAACACCAAACTGGCTGCAGGTTTGAACTGGTTTTCTTTAGATCTCAGCCTCCTGTCGTTTTTATCCTGATAAAAAAAAGTACGATAAGATTATCTCACAGTCGAATATAATGTAAAAATCATTTCAGGTAAAAGGAATTGCCCTTAAAAACAACACACATAGTGTTTGTCAATCTAGCGTCAGAAGCCTGTAATTCATTAAAGACTAACATGGATACCTTTCGCTTATTAAACACTATCTCCATTAGATGGTTATTTAAATCGATAATTTAAAAACAAAATTTAACGTTCAGTGAATAGCCTTTTATCATATTTTGGAATATAGCATTGCGCCAATACATGGCCAAATTTTAACATGCTAGCTAAAAAAGTTACAAATTAACATTTGCCAGAAAAGAAAGTCATCCTATATGGCACACATTATTCTGACTTCAAAATGAACAGTAGTTGATCGCCCTACTAATTCTCCGTACGACAAAAACAGCAGTTATCAATTCATTCTAAGGAACGACAAAAACAGCTTGTTTCGATTTCAATGTTCTGATTGCAACCCACCTCCTCTTTCTTCCCCAGTTGTAGATCAATACTTCGACGACGACGCGACCATGTTTCCAAAAAATATTTTTTTTATTATACTTAAAACATGGATTGATTAATCTACAACTTTTTCAGATTATAACGAATGTGGCTCAAACCCTTGTCAAAATGGCGGAACGTGTACTGACCATTTGAACAGATACAGTTGTTCATGTATTCCAGGCTATAATGGAGACAATTGTCAAACAGGTTAGCTTTTGAAACCTTTGAAATATCAGAGATGCATTTCTCGTACAAACTGTAATTCTACAATTTAATAAAATGACAGGCTCCATTTAATCAATGAAAAATTTTAAAAGACACTAGTCACTTTGATTTTAAGTGTTCAGGGTAAAAACTCATGGATACCAGGCTTATAAATATGTAAGTCAGTTCTGAGAAAGACTTTTACGTTTTGACGCTCTAATATTTGTTTTCTTCATATTTTCCACATTCAATTTTACTATTATTTTGTTTGATAACCTGCGAAACATTCTATTAATTATTTGGAGCCACATGAAAATTAATAAAAAAGATGTATAAGGTATACGTCAATGAGACAGTAACCCAACAACACAAATAAAAACAATGCCTTAGAGGACAGCTGATCAAAAAACCTAAATCAGGGACAAGTTAAAGTTTTTTTTTGGTGGTGTATGTCGTTTATATTCTTATGGGTTTTTCTTCAATTAAGAAATGTGTTGATGACAAATCTTTGGTATCTCTATTTGATTTATTCACAGTTGGGCAATTCAGATATTGAAAGTCAACTCTTACTACTGAAGATAAATATTTACATCAATTTTCCTTTTTAATTTCATGATTGTTAAGCTGTTAAGCACTTCGCATTTGATTATTTTTCAAGTAAAGATGACAGATGGATATATAATTATTGGTACGGTTAAATGTTGTCAATGAACAATTTCATTTATTTGTATAACGCAAACTTTGAACTTGTGTGTTATTAAACTAACAATGGAGTACAAAATTGTGAAAAAACTTTAGTTATTGTATGACGTGTATTAATGGCCTGACCGTTGGCCATTGACAGACAACATTTTCCTTACTGCTTTTCGCGCTTCGAGTAGTATACAAAAAGTGCACGTATTGTTTTATACCAATTCTTTATTTACATTTTTAGATATAAATGAATGTGCATCAAATCCTTGTCAAAATGGCGGAAGTTGTTCAGATCACGTGAACGGATACAGCTGCTCCTGTGTTCCTGGATATCTTGGTTTGATATGTCAAACAGGTATATGTCAATAATTCTGTTACAATGCTGTTAATTTGTCTCAACTTTAACTTTTGAAATTATTTAAAAATCTATTTCACACACTGTCCATATCATAATTGAAATTTCACACAGGAACACAATGATTGACAAATAGTGTTTTGCGTATGCTAATCGTGTTTTGTAGTGACAACAACCCGTGATGATTTTTTACACTATTTGGTGCAGATCATGTAAGCATCCAAAAAGTCAAAACGTGAAAGGCAAATTTAAGATCAGTTTCTCAAAATGAGAGACTATAAAAAATAACAAATACAATATAAACGCGATAAACTGTTTATACCGTCATATAATGTACCAAAAGTGGACATATATCTTAAGATCATTGTTATCTGTAAATGTTAACCCGTTAATCATTAATTTACATATGCAATAATAATCAAGGTTTTACAAACAATAGTATAAAGATTTCTGAAGAATAAGTAATTTGGTTTTGTATCTTTTTACAGAATATGCAAATAACACTATTAACATCGTACGTCCGCAGCTCTTTCCTGGATTTACCTTCATCAGGATTGCTCAAACCCAACAAAACATATTAAAGATAAAGATGCATATGTAAGACTGAGCTTTATGACCAAAAATAACCTATACAAATAGCCAAATTCAGCTAAAGTCAACTTTGCGTATGGGAGTTAAACAAAACATTAGTTTCTTAAGAATGTCTTAATTTATCAAATTGAAAATTTAAGAAAAGTGTGTTATGAAGAGCAAAGGAGACCCAAATGTTTCAAAAAGTAAATTTGATTGTGTTTAATATTTAACTTTAAATAATTCAAATGATAAACCAGATCATTGCTTTAAAACTTTCCTATTGCGTTAAATTTAAGGGTAATAAAATATTAAAAAAAAAACAATGGAAGACACCAAAACTATAATGTCTTGACACGTGTTATTTATCTTTAAAATGTCTTATTGTTGCATATCTGTTTCGGTCACATTTGATCCGTTGAAATCAATTAAGTTTTCAAATGTGTAATCTGAGTATGGAGAAAAAAAATAATTAAAAACAGCACTTTATAATGAGTCCGAACTCACAAGCGTTATTACAAAACATTACAAGTTAGAACCAACATAAAACCAAGTAGCACACCTACAAACTGACCTAAATATAACGTGTATGTAAAAGAGGCAACAATAGTTTACCTATATTCAATTCAAGTTCATTAAAAAGATACAAATCAGGGTAAAAAATAAATCTTTCAAACGCCAAAAGCTAGCGCACGGGAACGGAAGTTAGCCGTTGATAACAGCCAGCGTTAATATCCCCGAGGCCAATAATAATATTCTGTTTAGAAGTTTACATCAGGATTACATTGTCAAATCGGTAATCTCGAACCAATGTAAATAAACGGACGAGATACACAATTAACATCTTTCAATAACGTGTACTTACAGTTATAGTTTCTCACGCAGCCAGGTTTCCATTATCTTGGTTTATACTATAATGCATATCTGAAATGGTACTATTTACAGATATAAATGAATGTGCCTCAAGCCCATGTCAAAATGGTGGAACATGTATAGACCAAGTTAATGCTTTCATGTGTTCGTGTATGTTAGGATATGCTGGAGTTATATGTCAAACAGGTATTATCATTTTAGACAGAGGAAAATAAAATAAAATGCTTATATTACACAAAATTCATGACAATGATACAAGAACGATCGTTAACTTTTGATGATTTGAGATGCGATAATCATTACTTAAATATGAACATATTTTAATATTGCTTGATAATCATTTCTTAAATATGAAAATATATAAATATTGCTGATAATCATTTCTTAAATATGAAAATATTTTAATATTGCTGATAATTATTTCTTAAATATGAAAATATTTTAATATTGATTAGTCGTTTGTCATACACTCAGAAAGAAATGTATATAAGTACAATCGTATATTCCTTGGCTAAGTTTACCGTCAAATCCGCAGTTAACATGTCGCAACTAAGCAATGAGCCGCCATAGTAAATCTAAAATGTTCGACTAATACAATATAATGTAAAACAACATCTACCTCAAAACTCCGTTTAATTCAGATATTATAAAAATCTGAATCGCACAAGAAACGGAATAACTTTAACTTTAAAAGTTTTTATTTGAATGACGCCATGTTTACCATGACGTTAATGCGCAAAAGCATACTTGAAATTCACGGAGTTTTATTTTATTTATTTAATTTTCAATTTGTACATTTTTTCAAGTTACGACATATGATTTCTTTTTGTCATGCATTAAAATCGGAATAACAGCATTGTCGTTGAAGATTTGCCGCCGTCAATTAAGGATTTGACGATCTTAGTTATCCAATTTAAGCGTCGCCAGTAAAACTGCATTTGCGACCGTCGAATCCCCAACTGACGGCGGCAATTCTTCAACTACAGTGCTGTTATCCCGTAAGTGCAGATGTATATTAAACAGATAATACCGTGTTTTAGATATCAATGAATGTGCCTCAAACCCTTGTGAAAATGGCGGAAGTTGTACAGATGACGTGAACAAATATACTTGCTCATGTGTACCTGGGTATCTTGGATCTAACTGCCAAACAGGTATTTAATAATATTCAGTTTCAATACCATCAAGTTCTCTCCGGTAATGAAAATAGCAATTAATAAATTTGAATTGTCCAAAGTGTATTTCTTTATTTACATTTATCGGGAGCGGTTAAATTTACAGTAAAAGAATATTTTTCAACTATTTTAGTACTTCACAAAAAATTCTAAGCCAAGAATTTGATCTTCAGTAGTCAAGTTTGTTTGTAAGTCTCGGTCGATCTTGTAATTATCAGTTTTTACACGTCGTCAAAAATGAACGTATCCTGACATACTGAAAGTATTTGATCGTCGTAACGTCTCTAATAAACCAGGTTTGTTATTCTTATCTTGACAATATTTTTATAAACGGTGTTTGGTTCAATTAATACAAGATCCTTTTCGATTTTAACGATTTTTGGGATAACCTTTTCTACAATTATTGTATCGCAATCAAACTTTTAACAATAAGGAACGTTTAATGAAAGCTCATGTTTTTTTAAAGGAGTTCAATAACATAAACAGTACCAATTGTTCTGCACCAGGTGTGCATTTCGACAATCAATGTCTCTTCAGTGATGCTCGAGGCCAAAATATTTGAAAATCCAAAGCTTATCAAAAATATGAAGAGCTATAAACAAAAAAAGAACCAAAAAGTATAGCCAAAGCTGGGCAAGGAATCAGAGCTTTGCATGAGGGAGATACATTCCTTAATTTTAAAATAATTTCCAAAATTTTGTAACAGCAAATTTTAATGACATAAAAACCGTATTTTCATGCCAGTACCAAAGTACTGGCTACTTGGTGGTATTAGTTATTCTTGCTTGAAGGAAATAATCCCGTATGTATATTAACTGATTAAACAAAGGAATCGTACTTATCGTACGATCATGCTGCACCTGTTTAACCATCTTCCGTTTCTGAAAAAAACACTTCAAATGTTACTAAAAATACTTTTCCCCTTTTCTTATGGATATACAATTAATTTCGATAACATTGTGTTGCTCTTGAATCAAATCTAAATTTTCATATGATTTCCAGATAAATCTTATTTTTTAAAATCAGTTTACATCATTCTAATATGAAACAAACAAAAACATTTATAGCGAAAATGGAGATTGATAACCGTCCCAATTAACTATTTCATCTTTGTTAAGAAATTAAAATGAGGAGCACGAGCATTCATTTCGAACTGAAGGCTTTGCTTTGGTATTGGCATAATGTAACTACGCCATCACGAGTTTACCGTTATGGAATGTTGGTTTCATAGATGACGATGGATATGTTATAATTGTCGTAACCACAATCACATTCTCTTTTTTTTAATGCGACCTACCGAATTAGATTTATGACAAAATTTGTGCTTACATAATAAGCAACACGATGGGTTCCACATGTGGAAAAGGATCTGCTTACTCTTCCGGAGAATCTGATGTCACCCCGGTTTTTTGGTTAGGTCCGTGTTGCTTAGTTTTAAGTTTTCAATGCTGTGTTTTGTAGACTGCTGTTTGTCTTTTGGTCATTTTAAGTGTTTTGCCATGACGTTGTCCGTTTGTTTTCAATTTATGATTTTGAACATCCCTTAAGTATCACCCACCACTCTTTTCAAATGATTCTTTGTGTCGAAATGTTTACTTTAAATAATTGAGCGTGTAGCTTCAAATTGTCAGTTTTGCTGTTCTGTTTAAACCCTTTTGACTTTTATGCTCTCAAACGTTTAAAAGTTTGGCGTTCTAAAGTTTTAGTCATGGGCGTATTTGATGTAATTCCAGGAACACGTATTGTGTGCACGGAATGACATCAATGGAACCAATTTAACTGAATCAGATTTTTGACAACTAAAGTCTCTTCAGTACCGGTCGAGGCCGAAATATTCAAAAATCCAAAACCCCATTAAAACTTTGAAGAACTGATATAACCAAAAAGGATCACAATCCGTATTTTCATGCCATGATCGTAGTTTAGATCTACTGGGCTGGTGATACACTCAGGAACAAACGGTCTAGTGCTAGTAATAACATTTACGATACCAATGTTGGTGCACCAGATGAGCATTTCGACAAATAATGTCTCTTCGGTGATGATCGAGGCCATAATATTTCAAAATAAAAAAACAACCACAAAGTTTAAAGAGTTGATGTTGCATGATAAACAAAACTCCATCACAGATAACACGATTTTAATCTAGTTACCAGACTAGCGTTTCGTCTTCTTTATAAGACTCATAATGCTATAAAATAGTAAATTATCAGAACATAACATATATAACATCTATTTAATTCTAATCAAACATATTTTTACGACAGATTATGATGAATGTCAGTCAAATCCCTGCATGAATACTGGATCTTGCAAAAACTTAATCAACAGCTACAGTTGTGACTGTACAGGTAGATTCGAAGGTGACGTCTGTCAAACAGGTGAATATAGATTTTTTGTTTATTTAATTTACCTTGCTGCAACTTTTAAAGGTAAATTCCTATTTTATATAAAAAAAAAACACTCCAACTATGAAAGACTAATTACTTATTAAACAAAGGGAACCAATACAAAAGAAGCAATCAAAACAATAAGTCGTAGACAGAAAGAAAACACCATAACCATAAATGAGTGTATTACAACTGGACAATGTGATAACTCTAGTGGAGAATACCTGTCTCATTTGCAAGCATACCACATCTCCTTATTTTTATAAAGAAAAGACGTTTACCACTTTATCATTTATGAAGCTATATTAACATTAACAATGAAATACGAAAAGAACGTATATTTCAAAACTTTGACATCAAATGTATAATTCAGAGATATAAGAACATTGATTTAAGTTTTAAATTTTTTTTCCAGATTGTAGACCTGGACCGGCAGATATCGTATTCATTGTTGACACTTCTTTTAGTTTAGTGACAAATGTCAACAGAAGTCGAGATTTCATTACTGAATTTATCAAAAGAATACCAATTGGTCCAGATGAATTTCAAGTGGGTGTAATCACATACGATTTTGAAACTAATGTCCTTTTCGATCTTGATGATTACAATACTACATCAGGTATGATTGCCGAACTGCAGCATATCAAAGGGGAAGATGCCGCCACATATACATTACCAGCTTTACAGAAGGCAAAGGAGGTAAACATATAAATTATCTAATAATTGTTAATCTGTGATATTGTCTAGAAAAAGAAGTAGAGAATACTAAGGAAACAATCAAAAGTCATAAGTCGCAGTAAAACAAACAATATGATTGTTAAAAAGAAAAACGACGAAAACCCAAAAGTCTACAAAACACTTCACATAATAAATAAGATTTGAGGAACACAAATCCTAATAGAATTCGGAGTGAAATCAGATGCTCCGGAAAGATCAGCTGATTCTACTCTACTAGTGACATCTGCCATGCTACTCCTGATAAAATAATATGTTGAAATTGCATAAAGGAAAGCAAATTTTGTTTAATAGAAAACTGAAACTCATTACCGCCGATCTTATCTCTATCTTATAATTTTAAATACAAAGTCATCAAAGATACCAGACCACTTTTACAACACCATACGTGTATTTCGTCTTCATATGACTCTTCATTGACATTAAAATCAACTCAAATCTGTTTGAAGGCCAAAAATTTAAATGAAAGTGAACAGCACTGAAAACTTCACATTCTACAAGTGTTTTTTCATCTGTCTTTGTCCATTTATGCATATTGGGAGGAAAACCTTAGTGTTTTGAGTGTTTTTAATATTTAATGGCCAGGAATTTAATAAAATTACCGCAATAACGATAGTTCGTGTAAACACCAGTGCTGCTACTTGATCGATTATACCAACGAGAACCAAAACGTCAACAAGCCGTGTGAAAAGTCATCAAAGATACCCTTCTTATAATTTCTTGTACGCCAACGTGCATTTCGTCTCAATAGACTTTCAGTAACTCTCTTATCAAAGCAGTTTGCAGACAAAATTAATCACAAATTTGAAAAATACTGGAAAATTTAAAATTTCTATGATAAGTTTCTTTCTTAAATTCGGCCATTTCTGTCATGCAATGGCAGTAGAAAAACACTGGCATTTCAAATGATTTACGATTTTATGAACACTTAATTTAAATACAGTGACAACACCAATTAGAAATTAATTAAGAAAGGATACACTGCTAGATATAGAAAGAAAAACGTAGAATGAATTTACAAATTAGCTGACTATGAAATTATAAGAAGATCGATTTATGCATAACTGAATGCTTGAGGAGTAAATGACCAAAAAAGAACATAAAAAGAAGCAGATCCTTTAAGGTTAAATTTGCCTGAGAGAGAGAGAGAGAGAGAGAGAGAGAGAGAGAGAGATTATCTTAAATGTTTTTATTTAAATTAGGGATCAGAATACTTTGAAAAAAGAAAATCAAAGCACAAATGTAATGTTATATGACTTTTGCAGATGATAACTAACAGTTCTATGGGAGCACGTAGAGCATCAAGTTACATAATATTACTCTACGATGGTTTATCGACAGACAGGAATAAAGCTGTAAATGAAGCTATGCTAATTAACTCTATTGGTGGACGTATCATCACTGCTGCTGTTGGCCAATCTATATCATACTCAGAGTTGTTATTGATTTCAGAGAAACAATATTACACATTCATCACATCTTTTTTGGATGATATGTTGAATCATATTTTAAAGGAAACTGTTCCAGAAAATTGCACAGGTAGTACAGTTTTGAAATTCAAATTTCATATATAGTCAATCTATGATATGGTATATAAGTTTGCATTATTTTACTTATATATTCGTCAAATGAATTATATTTCTTAATACGATCTCATTCACCTTGAAATATTAAAATGATTTATTTGTTTAATTAACAAAATTATATTTTGATAAGACTGGTAGCTAGGCTGAATTATCAAAACAAAAAGAAACACAATAATACACAAAAAGGTCAACACACACATGTTATTGCCATATAACAAAACAGGTATATGTACAGTCACTTTTAATTTATAGGATTGTTTCTGTAATTGTAAAAAAGTTAATTTTGCGAGATAGAATAAAAATTTCTTCAGTTAACAGATAACATGTGTTAAATCAAATTTCTCTAAACTTAACTATAAAGTACAAGATGGTGGGATACATTAACAAGTACATGAAGCTTGTTTGGCCTTTATCGTATTTGTTTGTTCATAGCTCTTATCTTGTCTGTCGGCCTTTGACTAACATATTCTGATTCTATCAATGCTATCATTTTATATTCCCACTTTTCACTATTTCTCCCTTAATGACCTTCCATCTTTAATGCGAATAGGGTATGCATCACTTCTTCATGAAACTACATTCAATACCAATTTCCGAAAAAATATTCTATGTACTTATTGTTTGGAAACTCATGTAACAAATGTCAATTCTAACCAACATAAACGCATGGCTGTCGCAATCTTTTGGAAACAGATTTTATGCCATCAAGTGAGGCAATATCTTCATCATAAATCTTTTAAATCTAAAATTTATATTTGATGATTTTATTCTTCCTTGCTTTAAAGGAAAATATGTGCTTATCATCTATTATACCTGTTGCACCCAAAATTTCATACTTCAAAAATGTGTTGCGCTATCTCTATATTGACGAATTCAAGTCTAACCCATCTGATTGCATCCATGAAAGCTACACATATATATTCCGACGGGAAATATTGTAAACTGTTGATCGTAACATCGTCTACATCCCTTTTCAACTATATGTGTTACATTAAGGGGCCGAAATACCGTAAGCAAAAATCCATAAAAGAAGAAATGAAATTCTATAATAATACATGTAATTTATTAAGTCGAGGGCTATGCTAGTCAATGAGCAAAATATAAAAAGGAAGACTCAATACTCTTTCCGTATCGATTAAATCTGTTGTTTCGTTTATACAGATGAGGATGAAAAACTCAATGGGTCAAGAAAACTTTCTTCAAAGCCCAAAATGCTGTAACACATATGTCCTACCTCCAAGTAAAATATTTTGTTGGCCCACAACACAAAGCTCTATACTGTCGATTTTGTTTATAAATCATACCATAAAAACTGCGTCACATAGAAACTATGTGTTGACAATTTACTTTAAAACCAAACATCCTTCTAAAGTTACTAAAGAGAAAATCCGAATCAATCACTGGTCAGTTTCATGTTTCTTTGGAATTTCATTCATTTCCTGGATACCAAAATAAAAAAAGATGTTCTCACAAACAACGATATATTGCTGGTCTGCCAAATGCTCCATGAAGCCCCTTCATTGACATCTAATTTATTGGCAATCCAAATCGGATTTAAAATTTACTGCTTAACTATCTACTTTAGGGATGGTATGAATCAGAAGATAATCCAAAAGTTTAAGAGATCTGTTAGATAAAGGCAACAGTAGTATACTTTACATTCTAGCTTTCCTTCTTCGTTCAGTTCAAAAGCATAAAACATTTGACTTATCTTTTCCTTACACACATATTTCTCATTCAAAACTTCTAGACAAAATGAAAGAATTTATAAGATAGAATGGCCAACACAGATACGAATATCATGTTTTAGTAAAGGACATATTACTGTGAAAACTCTCTGATTAAAGCAAAACGTTAACTGAATCTGAACATCCTGAAAATGCTGATTTGTTTTTACTTACAATATATTAGTTACCATCAGAGGGCTTTTTTTTAATACACAATCGACTTTCCTACGGGAACCAACTGTGTCCCTTTGCATGTCGACTTGTTCCTTTATTTTTATGATGCAGCATTCATACAGGAGCGTCTTAAAAATTAAAAGAAGCTTGCGTTAACGTTTAACCTCAAGATCCGCTATTAAGATGATGTCCTTTCACTAAATAATTGAAATTTTGGTGACTTATTTGACTGCATCCATCGCAACAAACGTGAAATAAAGAATACCACACATACAGTTAAGGCTGCTTAGCTTCTTGATTTAGCCATCTAGAAATTGACAAGAGGGTCGGTTGAAAACTAAAATTTACGACAAAAGATATGATAATTATTTTCCAATTGTGAACTTTCCAACAGAGTCTGCATATTGAGCATATATCTCACAGGTGATACGATATTCCAGGGCTTTATTGTTTTATCATGGTTTCCTTGATAGAACGTAGCTGCTTACGGAGAAGCTATCCAAATCTTAAAGTTGAAGTCATCCTTTCAAAAGTATTACGGACGCCATCATGAGTCGTTTGAAAGTGAAGGAATATCTATGTCACCTATGACCAGGATATTTTGTGCGTTGAATGAATATCAATACGGCGATCAATAGAATGTCAATAACCCTTAAAATAGTTAATGTTTTATTTCTATAAAAATGTACTGACCCTGTTAATGTTTTCTTCTGAGCATATTGAAACACAACAAATTTTATTTCTTGAACATTTGAACAACGTCATTAATATTTACAGACTGTTCTATGGTAACAAGATCAGAGGTCATTCTCCTGTTAGATACAAACAAGAACCAAACAAAAGAAGATTATAACCAGCGTCTAACAGCGATTCGACGAACAATAGAACAAGTATTACATTACAATCCAAATGCAGATGTCGGCATGTTTTCATATTCGGACGAGGTAGAACAAGTTTTTAATTTATCGTGGTCATCTGATATCGATGAATTGATCGCCGCTGCATTGCAGGTCAGGGTTGATAAATTGAATACGACTTCAAACCTAATCCATGCTTTAAATCATATACGAGAAGGCAACTTATTTAAATCATCACGGAAACTTATTGTGTTATTCTCTAATGCAAAGTGGAATAATTTAGATGAAATAGACATGGAAGTTAAATTATTAAAACAACAAGACATCCATACTTTTGGTGTAGCATCAGGCGAGGATTGTAACGTGGATAATTTTGCTAGTGTTTTAAACGATCCTAGTTATATATTTGATGTAAAAGATGACGGCTACACGTCCTTGGAGTCGCTTGCAGCAATAACAATATATTATAATTGTACTGATAACATTTTTATCAAGCGACAGTGAAATGTCACAGATACACTAAGGGCCGTATTTGGCCCCCTATTTTGTCCAAAATCATATATATGAAATAAATGAACTTAGGATCGGAAAAGATTTGCATATATCTGTTCTTCAGTAGTACATGCGTGTTTTGTCTTTTAGTAAAGCAGAAACCTGCTTTTTCGTTGCGTAAAGTGTTTTTATTACGTCAAAATATGGAAAAATGTTGATCTTTGGACTGAAATCCTTTGTTTTAAAAGTCCTCAGCCAAAGTGGGCCACAGTAAAAATTAATGATAAAGATGGCATACAAACGGAGTTTGCCGACTAAGAAAAGAAATTATTTGATCACGTTAGCGGAGGCATTAAAAAATTAAAAAAAATATCTTTAAATAAAACAACTTGATTCGAAAAATTAAATATCGGAGCGAAATCGATAAAGGGCTGAAAATATCCGCATTCGTCTGTGACTACAAGACAACCTCAATTAAAGCAAGAATACTTCCATAGTTGAGGTGTTTAGTTTTAAGATCTTGCAATCATTCTCCAAATTGTACTTTTTATCTTTTAATCAAGGTGGATTTTGTTTTGTCGATTCAGATCGATCAAATAAAATAAAACAATATGTTTATGAAGTCTGTGTTTAGCACAACTGCTATGGGACAGGGTTACGATTGTCTAAATCTAGAACAAACACTCATAATGCTGGATAATATATGGTCGATAATATTTGATATCAGGAGGGAAAATATTGCTTATGAGGTCAGTAGGTCCGCATAAAGGTCACTATTATTTCGTTGTTTTACTAGAGACTTTTTCGTCAGTCCGATCTTTTTTGGAGATGTTGTGGCTTGTTTCCGTTAAATGAACACCCAGTTGCTTCCACCAATAATCGGATAGAGATAAATCTACAAAAGATCAATACCGTAGATGAGAAAATCATGGCCATCAAAAATACAATATCAACATGATCAACTTAAATCATACATGAAAACGGTCGTTGCTATGCAGTGTGTACGGTTGCTAGGTAGTTTCTACGCATACAGCAAGTTAACACAATGTAAGATTTGTACAATTGCCGTTTAAGTACCTAACAATAAAACATAACTTTGGTTAACACATTTTGGATTACATTAACCTTGGTCTGATACCAAAGGTCGTGGTTGCTTTGTATAAGGTATTGTTGCTAGGGTCATCTGGTGGTAATGGTGTTGATATATACTCGTTTAAATAATATAAATAAATAAAACGTTACTGTTTGAGATTACCATATATGTATTATACAATGATCCATTCATACGGAAAAGACGCATTTTTTGATAAATAAGGTTTACAATAGCATATTAAGGCAGGTTTCAAATCTGCTGCTAGGCAACTAAAAATGATAATAGCTAAAATAAATTGTCATTTTTTAAAACTTCTATGCCTAGTCTATTGAAGTAATAAAATTCAATTAATTTCAAGAGGGGGACAAAAATGGCCCTTATTGTACCTTGTCCTTTGTAACAATTGGTACTGTTCAGAAACTATTGCTGAACATATTCAATATATTTGGCTTGTTATTCTAATATTTATTTTGTTTTATTTCAAAACATGGCCTAAATAAGCCCTTATTGTCAGTGTTTATGGGGTAAAATTTACGCTTTGTCTTTAATTCCACCTTTTCCAATGATACAGCAATCTAACGACAAAAATAATTAAAAGACACCTATAGTATTACATACTGTCTTCAATAGTAGACAGTTTTATATGCAATATGTCAATCTCTATATCGTGTTGAGTTTTTTTAAAGTGTGCGTCTACAAATATTTCAACGACCGTTTATTATAGCTGACGATAATATGTACAAACAATGTACTGCAACATTAAATATACAGACACACTGTCGTAAAAGAATACTTTATTTTTCTAGTCAATACAAATTTTCAATAACCTGAAAACTGTTCATCAATTTAGGAACATAACATTGGTCAATAAAAAAGTACGTTTGTTGTTAGTCGGGTCTCAATATTTGTATATTCCGAACGCATACTGGATATATACGGAGGAGACCAACCTAGTTTGGTGTAAACTTCTATATACTACAACTCCGAAGGTTTATATACTACAACTCCAAAGGTTAACATCCGCCAATCAGTAATTGTTCGGATCTGTCATCAGTTTAATAATGCATTCAATCGTGAACCCAATTGTGACATTTGCATTAAAAATTGCAACTCCGTTAATCATAGTTTTTCTCCTAGTGCAACGGTTTCAAACTGTTCAATAAACCATTCATGTGACAATTACTCCTCATATCAAACCAAAAGACAAATAAATCCAACTTAGTTCATTTAAACAAGAATGGTCATTGTAGAAAACAAATATCTGGATGAAGACATGGACAAATAAAATATTGTTAAATATAATAAAAAATGTACGAGTCGAGTTTTTCATTATAATATTTAAGAAATATAACTGACAGTCAGCCCAATGCAGGTATACTTTTTGGTTTAATATGTCGGTTGGGATATTTTCACATTAAAATTATGTTTTTTTGCAGGACAAAGTTAATGCTAGAAGCCAAATGTCTATCTGTAGTTGTGATTTCTATTTTATGTGAAGAAACGTTAATAAGATATTCATGAATGTTTGATGTCAGGCCTTTTATAGCTGACAATACGGTTTGGGTTTTTCTCATTGTTGAAGGCCGTACGATTATCTATACTTGCTAACAACCACGTCCTTTGAACTCTAGTGGATAGTTGTCCTATTGCCAATCATACCACATCTCCTTCTTTTTATATGTAATTAAATTTCAGAGATAGCAAAGGGGAGGGACATTTCATAAACATAATTAGTTGAGCAAGTCCGTCAAAGGGAATGTGGCGTTTGGAAGGCAATCCGTGCTTCTGGTTAATAAAAAAAAAAACACAAAAAAAGCAATCTCGAATTATGAGCCGTGAATTTGTTTCTACAAAACTATATTCACGGAAACAGAAGATTGATTGACAATAGATTTCACATGTTTTACTGACAATGTTTCACTCAAATTCAGGGTAAGAAACGGAAAATATTGTTGAGGGAATGATGTTGACTGCCATTGGAAAACGCGTCGTTATGATACGGTAACAAATGACCTTAGAACGGATCACTGACATATACCAATTGTCAAAACCACAACCTCTGTCTCAATTATGTTTAAGGATGTACTAGGGTGAAATTAAAAAAAAAATTAGAATTTGAAATTGATACTATAAGTCAGAAGAGCATTAGTTAAGGAACAAAATAAGATAAAAATATTAATAGGTAATGGAGCTCCTTTTCGAGATATTCATTTTTTTTAAATGGCTAGAATAGGCTGACTCGGACTTTTACCTTATATTTGCATTGGTATAATTTGGTTCTCAAATCGAAAAAAAAAAAAAAATAGAATCTACTTAAATTTTGGAAAATGACATTTTATGAGCTATTGAAGTCTTGTATGAAAAGAAAAATGGGTGTTATTGGGCAAAATATTTTACCTAGTATTGTAGGAAAAAAACCAATGCGTCCGAACATCTGACAAAAATTCCAAAACCTGACATAATTACATCCTTATGTTAAGTTCTACTTTAACTAACAACGAGGTGCCACTATTGGATCAGGAACTACTTATCCTTCCAGGCACTGGAATTGGCCTATAATTTTGATTTGATTTTGTTTGTTTTCCTTTTGTATTCAGTAGTATTCCTATTTTATTTTTCATAATCTGTGTTGTTTCTACATGTGACAGTCTTATCTACGTAATATCTGTTTGTTTTTACGATGTGCACATTTCAAACTGTCATATAAGGTCAAATTTAGGGTAAGAGAATTCACATGAATTTGGTGATTTCTCAGGGTTAAAAAAAGACCTTTAACTATCCGCTATTGTGTGAAGCCTTATCACAGCATATGATTCTTCAACGTTATTCATGAGGAGTAACATGAAGAGTTTCACTTTATATCATGTCAATACCATCTTATACAAACAAAAAGACAATTTTTCAAAAAGTTAATATTTGCTGTATTGCTGTAACAGAAAATCGACTCTAGAAATACTGGTATCCTAGCACTTCAGTCTGACTAAAGCCAGTCCCAAAAATCCGGTGTTAATATATGGGGACGGATATTAGATATAACTAGTATGACTGGTTGTATCTGAAGCCTACAATATGAGGCGTCATTAAAAATGATGTATTGTACCATCAAGCAAAATATTTACATATTTAATAATGGAAAATTAAATTTTTAAATTGAGTTAATTGTAAGTAATACTTAATGACACATAATAAAATTGAGAATGGAAATGGGGAATGTGTCAAAGAGACAACAACCCGACCATAGAACAGACAACAGCAGAAGGTCACCAACAGGTCTTCAATGCAGCGAGAAATTCCCGCACCCGGAGGCGTCCTTCAGCTGGCCCATAAACAAATATATATACTAGTTCAGTGATAATGAACGCCATACTAAACTCCAAATTGTACACAAGAAACTAAAATTAAAAATAATACAAGACTAACAAAGGCTAGAGGCTCCTGACTTGGGACAGGCGCAAAAATGCGGCGGGGTTAAACATGTTTATGAGATCTCAACCCTCCCCCTATACCTCTAGCCAATGTAGAAAAGTAAACGCATAACAATACGCACATTAAAATTCAGTTCAAGAGAAGTCCGAGTCTGATGTCAGAAGATGTAACCAAAGAAAATAAACAAAATGACAATAATACATAAATAACAACAGACTACTAGCAGTTAACTGACATGCCAGCTCCAGACTTCAATTAAACTGATTGAAAGATTATGTCTTCATCATATGAAAATCAGGCACAATCCTTCCCGTTAGGGGTTTAGTATCATACCATCATAACATATATGAGAAGAACATAACCCGTGTCATGTCAACAACTGGTTTTTAAATAAATGTGTTTAGTGCCGATGCAAGGACCCTATAAGTGTATCAATATTAACGCCAAAATATGCAATCTTTAATGACCTGACAACAGTATCGTAACTATA